TAGAAGAACATTTAATTTGATTTAATGCACAATATAAAATTCTAGTTAGTGAAGACTTTATACCTCATGGTTGAAATAGTATGTTGGTTTTTAATTTTAGTTTCAGGGTTGGTTTTCTTCAGAACATGTGCAAGCTGGTACACAGATTTTTTTAAAAAATTCTATCTTGTTATATAAATCTTTCTGTTACACAAATATGATACAGATAATGCTTGATATTTATGTTTAGGATGATGATTTTGGTTTTGGACATTAAAACAAATCAATGAGATGCCATGCGTCTCAGAAACTAATTAAAAAGCAAACGAGACAATTTATCCCATTTATTGCATGGATATGGTTTTAAAAAAGAGCTCTCAAGATAGATGGAATCAATTCATGTTGGGATGTGCTCGGATACACCACAATGTGTTCAAAAACACTAAGCATCAATTGATATTATGCAAGGTAGTTTACTGGTAGCAATGAACAGCTTCAATTGTGTTTTCATGTACACCAAAAGGTGCCATCACCAAGACTTTGCTTTTGAATTGAACCCTCTCATTGACAATCTATCCGCAGGTAAAAGCTTACATTTAATTAGTGGAGTAACTAGATCTATAAAGGTTTATAATTGGGTTATCAGGCTTGTAAGAGTGTCAGTATTGGGTACTGCTAAATTATTATACATAAGATATATATATTTAGGGGCTCAATCCAGTTTTGCGCATCAGTATAAAAATATCTTCTAACTCCTCCTTTAAGGGTAGCGTCCCAGAGTGCTTGACCATGGCGGAGAACAGCGCCGAGCCTGTGGGAGGTGAACATAAGCAGATTTGAATAGGAAGGTCTTCAGGCGCGATCTGAAGATGAGGAAGGAAGGGGCAAGGCAAAGGGATAGAGGAAGAATGATCCAGAGTTTCGGAACATAGTGGCTGAAAGCACGGCCACTGATGGTGAGCGGAGTGCACGAGGGATATGCAGGACGCCAGAACCGGTCGAGCAGAGACAGTGGGTCAGGGACTAAGCAGTTCGGAGAGTAAGGGAGCTGCCATGGCATGAAGGGATTTGAAAACAAGTGTGAGGATCTTGAAATCAATCGGTTCGGTGATAGGGAGCCAGTGGAGTCTGGCTAGGACCGGTGTGATGGGGGTACGGAGTTTAATGTGAGTGAGTATACGGGCGGCGGATTATTGGATCAGATGGATTTTGTGGGTGGTGGAGCTCGGGAGACTGGCGAGGAGGGCATTTGAATAGTTGGGGTGGGAGGTGATGAACGCGTTCTACTCCTCCCAAATCATGCCCGCGCCTTGGGACGTCCTTCTGATGTGAAAGGTGCTATATAATGTCTGCTTCAATTGCATCTGAAGACTTTCCTCTTTTGACCATGCCTACGGTCACCTCTCTCCTCAGCTCGGCTACTGACTCCAACACTGTTATGAGACGCAACCTGCATGAAGGGCTCTCTGGAAATGCAAGCTGTTGTTGATCTTTTCAGGAGGGATGCCCAGGGAAAAAAAGCTTTAAACCAAGCAGGACATAAATCCCATTAAACTAAACACCAAATTAGATTCCTCCTTGAATTTTCCTTTATTTATTTTGGTGTTTTATAATAATATGAATGTGCATCAGTAGACAAGCAGATCACGTGCTCTACGATATCTTTGATATAGGGACACAAAGTTCTGTCTGTCTGTCCACAAAGTTCTCTTGCCCCCTATTACAAAATAGCGATACGAGACCATGAAGGAACTGAAACAAGCAGTCAGTGATGCATTTCTCCTTGTCACTCTATCTATGTTAGGAAGATGTCACACCGAACATGGTGACAGATCATTATCTACCATGAAAATGATAGCACTCACACCGATCCTCTGGACGTCTAAATACGTTAAAAACTTGCACTGAATACAAATAAGTACTTCTAAATACAAGTATCATCATTCTTCCTATGTATCAATTGTAGATCCGTGTACTGTAAAAAAAAATGGGGGCAACAGGACTTTCTGTACACATTCTAACACTATCTTTTGAACGTAAAAGCAAAACTGAGAAAACTGCATCATTGCTCCAGCATTAAAAAGGTTGGCAAAAACTAACTGCTTTGTTTTTACACAATGCTTCGATTATTTATTTCAGCATAACACCAGTTGCAGAGACTGCATCAGTCAAATTTATGGAAGTAGTCCATCAAAGTGACTATTTGCACATTGCAATATACAAATGCAATACAAAATTACATTTGTATTGCGCCTTTCATGTCGGGAGGAAGTTCCAAGGTGCTGGACAGTCAGAGTTTTGGATCCGTGCAGAAGGGTTGGTATCAGGGAGGGTGGAGGGCAGGAGGCTAGTCGAAGACGTAGTCGAAGAGGGTCTTGAGACGTGCCTTGAAGGAGACAAGGGAGGGAGCCAAGCAAAGGTGGGATGGAGTTCCATCGGGTGGGGGCAGAGAGGCAAAAGGCCCAACCACCAATGATGGGGCGGGCCAGGCGGGGTGCGAGGAGCAGGGCATCGCCTGCTGAACAAAGGGAGTGGACAGCTTGGCTATAACCTTAGCAATAAGCTTCCACTGAACGTTCTCTACATTACTTTAGCACTGACGTATTTGTTTTATCACATTGGCAGTTCTCTTGTCAATATTTTTAGGTATTCCGTTTAGGCATTATAAGACATTTGAAACTTGAGAAAGTTGGTGAATCTCTTGAACCCACCTCTTATTTTTCTGCCTGCAACATAAACCAAAGATTTGTAGGCTTCAAGGTTGATGTTCAGCGGCCAGTGGATGAAGGCTTGCTGTGTCCTGCAATTTGATTGCAAGCAATTTAAGACATAACATTACAAATTGTTTGAAATAGTTTGTATTTGCAATTTTTTCATTGCTGTACTTCATGAAGAAATCAATGCCCATCACAATGCAACTTGAGGAATAAAACTGAAGACGAGATAAGTGATAGCTTTACAGAGAGACAGTAATGGAAGATCAAAATCCTAAAAGGACGAATGTCACTCTGAATTTTCCTGTTGCACATTTCACCTTATTCATTGAATAAAAGCTTGTTAAAATGTAGAACAAAAGTTTTTGAACAATTCTACCATCAAAGTAAACAAATATTTCTGTAGCAATAAAGGCATTTCTGTGGGAGTACAATGACTGTTACCAATCCAAAGGAAACTACCTAACCGTTATGAACTTTCAAATTAATTAGAATGAAATATTGAATGATGCATTAAGGTTATCGCATCACAAATTAAGTAACCTTTCTCCCCAATCCCACCCATCTTGTCCACAATTTTTATTATTATTATGCAATGGCCCTTTACACTGCACCAACTGTGCTGGCTATAATTTGCCATATCTATAATATATTCATGACACTATTTAAGAGAAAACAAACGAGTTATTATTGCTCGATTGCACAAATGCAATTTTCATCAATCGGTTAAACCACAAAAAATACAACTATGCCTTACGGGTATTGCCTCCATGACTGTCTCATCCCTCATACATGCCTTCATTACAACCAGGCTCGACTATGCCAACGCCCTGCTTGTCGGCCTTCCCAACTCTTCCCTCCACAAGCTGCAGATCATCCAGAACTCTGCAACTCATGTCCTCTCCCGCACCAGGCTCCGTGACCCCATCACCCCCACCCTCGCTCGGTTCCACTGGCTCCTCAATCTTTGGGAGGATTGAGTTAAAAATTCTCGCCTCACCTTGCCCCCTCCTACTTCTCCGACCTGCTAACCCCTCATCAACCTGTCAGCTCCCTCCGCTCAGCAGGCTCAGCCTACTCCATGTCCCTTGCCGGCCTCACTATCAGAGGTCGGGCCTTCAGCCTCTCTGCCCCCACCCTCTGGAACTCCATCCCATATTCCTTTTGCCTCGCTTCCTCCCTTGCCTCCTTCAAGGCACACCTCAAGACCCTCCTCTTTGACTGTGTCTTCGGTCACTCTCCACCTTCCCTGATCCCAAACCCGCCCCTCCCACTTCCTGGTCCTAATCCCTGACTGTTCAATGCCTTGGGACGTCCTCCTAGCCTGAAAGACACTTTACAAATTTAATTTTGTATTGTATTGAATTATGGAATGTGTTAAATGAGACCTTCTAATATAACAGAACAAAAATCAATCCTATCAGCAGAACTCAATCAAAGTAAAATTGTGGAGCTGCTCCTGAAAGAAAAAGATCAAATATAAAGCAGTCAATCAACATGTTACATCAGTGGGCTGTTCTAACAGTTGTGATACTGTACTAGGTTGTACAAAATAACTTCAAAGTTGTCTGAATTCAATCTTCTAAGTCTGATCCTGACAGCTTTTAATGAAAATAGAACAATTTTAGAGGAATTATAAGCAGTTTTTCATTCTCATCTTCCATGGCACTTTTTTCCCCCCTTGATTCCACACTTTTTGTATTGTTCTTCTCATTGACAAATATGACCAGAAGAACGTTTAACTAGTGAGATTTTGATTGTAGCCATCACAAAAACAACCAACTGTATAACAACATCAATGAAAGGCTGGTATCTCTGCAGGCAGAGACTGGGAAACTCAACCAACGTGGCCATTAGTTTTTTTTTTCTCAAATGATATTTGTCTCCAGCTAAGAATTTTGTGAATTCTTAGCTTATCTTCCAGACGTAACACTCTTTTGGGGAAGGGATGAGAAACACATTAAAAAATATAGCAAAGTAGAAATGAAACAATAGAAGTTTTGCACTTGTACCAGTAAGTTAATTCAGTATCCACAGCCCATACCATTCTTACTACCTTGGCTGAGGCAAAGGGAATGGTAGGAGATAGTAGTGGACTAGGGTGAGGAAATAAATAACAAGACAGTCTTATTAAAATAGATAAATAACAAGATGTACCTTAATATGCCAAAGCTGAAAGTCAATAAGAACAATTTCAGGTAATATTCTTTAAATGTTTTTTTGCCAATTTAAATGTTATTGATATTCAGGGCCTATAGTAACTATCTAAACATCAATGTCAATTGCTCTTAAACAATTATTCTGTAATGCACTTAAAAGATTTTTTTTATTAAAAATGTTAATGGTGTGTCGTTCATGCAACCATATTTTCTGAATTTGTGATATGACAGCAAACTGATACATTGATAACTTAAAATCCACTGGTTTCTTCAAATTCCTTTTAAATATTTTAAGGTTTTGTGTCTATTACAAAAAATTGATTTTTACAAAACAATAGTCTACAGAAATGAAAGCTGATACAAATTAGTGCATTCAATTGCAATTATAAAGTTTTACAAAGTTTTTTTAACCTAACATAAGCATTATGAAATATTTTGATACATAATAAATAAGATAGCAAAACATAAGCAAATCAATTGCCATGTAACATCACTCTGTGGCATTGCAAGATCATTGTCCTGAAACTTGGGGAGTTCTCTACAAAACGTACAACGTTACCTTAGCACAGTCTCTCAGACAAATGACTTGACACAATATCCGTTTATTCTTAAAGGGATACCAACTGGGTAGCATAGCATCCCTGCGCATCTTCTTGGAAACTAATATGATCAAAATGACCTTCAGAGCATCTTCATAAAAGTTTCAAATGGGCAGTCTTCAGAAATGCACATTATTCAAGTTTAACTGTGTTGTGCTATGGTTCAGTTGAACCATTACAACATTTTGGATTCATGTATATCACAAAATTCTAGTGTTTAGCTTCAGCTAGTATGACAACTGTCAAGTTCTAAAAGGTTGCTGAACATTACAAACCATTTTTTTCCCACACAATTGTAACAAAGGTCTCTAATATTTCTGCAAAAATGTGAATTTAATCCTCAAAAACAAAAATCAATACAGTAGAAATTCCAAACTGTAAACAATGTTTACAAACACTGAAAAAGAAAATGGTGGTTCGCAAACCAACCTTGTACTTCATATACCACTGGCCCGATAGGGACAGGTGCTATTGAATGGTACATCCCTTTCAGGCTGTCTTGCAGAATTTCAATAGCATCCATAATGCAAATGTGGTATTGCCGGATGTAAGAACTTGTGTACTAAAACTGTGCGCAGTTTGCCAACTGCTCCGATCTCTGGTCAACAATGATCTCGGGATTGGCTCGCAGAGAAATTAAAAGATAAGAAATCATTCTGTGTGCCTGGCATGAGCTATTCTTAAAAAGGCTCTTAGGCTGTTTTCAATTTGCTTCCCCAAATATTTCTAACTATCAAAGAAAGGCTCTGCATTATGGTTGCTTGATGCAATTCTGCAAAGCCCAGTCTATTGACAAGGCACACATTAATTTAAAAGAAAAATAAACTGAATACTTAAGTTGAACAAGGAGGATGAAAATCATTTAAGGCTGTTTAAGTGGCTGAGAGAAAAGCATGTAAACTAATTTAAAGCTGAAGACCATACTGGAACACATCCTTCAGCAAAGCAATTAAAGACGGTTACAGTTCAGGTATGTCCTGTGTACGCAAGTGAAGAGGGCGTCATCCTGCATGGGTGCAAGGTAGAAATACCTCTACACAAGAGTCAGTAGCAAGATCAGTACCTAGAGTCCTTTAGTACAATTATGACTGTTTTAATCGTTTGCGTGGAATACCAAATGGAGGGCACTGTGCTGTTGCCAGCGCTCGGAAGGCCTCTGCAACTAAATGAGGATGAGAGTGGATCATCGACTTCCAGCCTTCCGTCTCCATCACATCTGTTGCGTGGCTGCAAATGAGTCAAATGATAAAGCCCATCAGACTACCTTACTGAGCAATATTTTCATTAAGTTTTATTATTAAAACGTTAACCAGAGAATACCCTTCACTTAGAGGCTGATGAAAGTAATTAGAGGGCTCCAGTTTAAGCTTCCGTGATTGCATTATCCACATTTAAACACAATATTGCTCGTGGATAAAAACAGGAGTTTTTTTTTAATGGACTGAATCCAAACGCTAAGAATTGCTGACATTTCAGTTTCTCCTGTACTGCCTTTATATTTTTGCAGTCAACTCCCCTCTTTTTACTTGCTTTCCATTGTCATTTGCCCTGCAACTCATCTTCCCTGCTCCCAGATTCTTTCATCACAATTAACAAAATGTTTTCACATAGTATTCACATACTCAATTTACCCTATATCAAAAGGTCTGCACACCCATTTTATATCCTCTGAATACAAGTGAGTAGCTTAAAAATTCTAGATCAGTTTGTAGTGATGCTGCCAACCAGTGAATTGTAATTTATTACATGGGAAGGCTGCTAACAGATTAGAATAAATATTTAAATTATAAGACTGAAGTCATAAAACATCTTTTTTGTTCTAGTTATGGTACATCTTTGAAAAAAGCTTTACTAAAACAACAAATCTAACCACATCACAAAATAAAATTCCACTCTGAACTATTGTTCTTATTAAAACTCAACAAAAACCTTCATAAAACATCACGTGGAAATAATCTGTGCAGAGACTTCACTTTTGAAATGTTCTTCAATAAATACTCTACATCTTAAAATTATGTCCGGTAATTAAACGGGTCATAAACAAACCAGCCATACATCAATTACACAGAACTTACTCTCCCAGGCACTTCTGATAAGTTCACTTTTGCTACATAGAAAAGAATGTCTGCAGGGTCTGTGCATGAAAATCCTCAATGTATTTAGAGTCAAACCTAGCTATGGCACCATGGAATTGAACAATTAAAACGCCAGACTAATGCAAAGTCTTTTAACTTAAAAAAAGTCTTTTTAAAATCACAAAATCAATTACTTCAAGATCAATTTTCTGGTAAGAAGAATCGTTTAAATAATTTGCTTTTGATGTAGCTCATTATACTTCAAAAGTATCAAAACACTTTGCACAATCAAAGTTACTTTGAAGGGTTGGGATTGTTGTTACATATGCACACATGACAGATAATCTACACTAGCATTAATCCATGAACCATATTAATAATAAACCTTGTATTTGATAAAGCACATGAATACATTCATCAAAATATCTCAAAGTGCTTCACAGAATTTACTGCGAAGTGTGCTGAAAGCAGAAGCAATAGACTTCAGTGAACAAGTATTCGCCCACAAATATACAGTTAATTCACTTTACAGTGTGTTCTGTGAAGCACTTTGGGACGTCCTCCCGACATGAAAAGCGCCATATCAAATGCAAGGATTATTATTATTATTCTAGACGAACATGGTAGAACTAACGCACAACAACGTCCCACGAACAACCAATAAGTGAATGACCAATTTTATTCAGAGGAGTTCAGGTCAGGACACAGGGAGAACCTCTATTTTCTTTTCAAAAAGTGCCATGGATCTTTAAACCAAGATCATGTCCGACTGTTCAGGAGTAGTCAATTCACTTTACAGTATATTCTGTGAAGTACTTTGAGATGTTTAGAAGATGTGAAAAGTGATTATTATTACTTTAATGTCTCACCTGAAGACAATACAGTGTTCTCTGGTACTCAATAGAGTGTCAACCTAGACTAGACTATGAATCCAAGCCCTCACGTGGGTTTGAAAATCATTCTCACGAATAATTACACGAATGACAGTACAAGGCAATCTGGTGCCTGGCTAGAACACACGTCCATTTTTAAAAGAGATGTGTCGTACATCTGAGGTCCTCGAAGTACAGTAAACTTTTGGCTTCTGTTGCAAGGCTGACTGCACACTACTTCTGGCTTCAGTGGTTAGCTAGCTGCACAGTACAACCTGATACTTTGTAGATTTTACAATTGGGAGAGGTTGGAGTTTTATGGATCTCAAAATAACACATTATAATGGGACCTCACTGTACCTACCATTTAAGCTGCAATGAAACCTATGAAAACATCTTACTACTGTGTCTTTTACTTTAAATGAACATATGTTAAATTTAGGTTCTGTACTATCCACAAAACTATACTGAACACTGTCAGTCCTGCAGTATTACTCATTTTATAGGTGTTGGCCTGGATATTTTACATTACTTTGCATTGTTGTTTTACTATATTTACAGAAACCTTTTTTTTTTCACATACAAAATTGAAACAAGCTATTAAATAAATAATTATTCTTTCTGCACTTTACTTACTTGTTACTCCAGTTTTTTCCATCTTTACATCCAAGTTGTCGGAGGACACTGCACCTACGGTAGAAAAGGTTCAACAAGAAAAAAAAGCACAAAATCACAAATTCAAATGCAACTACAGCAATGCATATTTTACAGTTTACAATGTGTAACATCACTTGCCTGTTAATGAAGTCTATTGCTTGTGCTTTCAGCTGCTCTGCACTGTGCAAATCTGCAAGAATGAGAATTTCTGCGACATTTTCAACCGAGAGGTTGCTACACAAGGCTTCTTCACACATGACCTTCAGACGATCTAGTGCATACTTGATGGGAATAAAAATATCCAAGTTACCTCAAGATTGATTTAGTCACATGCAGTTGAACTGATTAGAAAAATGATCCTGGGGAGGTCTTGAACCACATTAAAAACTTGCACTATTTCTGCAAACACAATCCCATTCCCAAGCTGAAATTTTAAAGCATTCTGAGTCTTGCCTTTTCTGATTAATAATAATCTTTGTATTTGATTATAGAACCTTATCACATTGCCAAGACCAGTCAAAGCACTTTGCACAATTTTATTAAACTAATATATAAAAATATTTAGTACCTGAACATTTGAACTAAAACAAACAAGGGCAGGATTTTAGATTCATAAAATTAAAGCAGTTCTACAACAGCCTAAAAGCTCCAGCACTGTGGGATTCACCTCCTCTATATTCCAGGGTGAGAAGGGTGGGGATGCTCACAGCACCAGTGACATGTACAAGTTTGCAAGTGGACACAAAGGCTTAAAAGGAATGGCTAAGGCCAATAGAAAATTGCAGAAATATTTGTCAAACATTGGAGGGAAATTTTTAGAAATTTTGTGGAAACCTGCAGGGGGAAGGGGTTTGTTTGATGATATTATAAGGCACATTTTACTGCCAACCTATATTTTGTCACTTTATTAATAACAACTTTATTCTCCAAAAACAGCATCAACATTGTGACTTAGCTAATCAGCCAATCTACTTGAACAAAGCAATCTCCATCAGCAAAAATAACACCTACTCTTCTGAAGCCTGACAAAGAAGATTTGATGACATGCATTAAGGAGAAAGTGGTGGGAGGAGAAGCATTCCCTTGAGGATATTATTATTCTGCAATCTCCACCCCAGATCAAATGCTAAGGTTCAAGTTTTCATCAGAATCAATGGTGACCTGGGTTGAAGCCACTGACCAAAAAGGTTCAGATGAAGGGATCTCAGTCTGACACTGGAGACTTCAAAGTTGGTTGTCATGTTTATCATTCTGCTGTGGTGCCCCCTCCCTCTCCCGTCCAGAGGAGCCTGAAAGAGCTAAGTAATGATCTGGGGTCTATAGTGCATTTCCAGGGGACTCTCTCATGATTGATGATCAAGCCAAGTGCCTGGAATCCTGCCTGGATGTCATTTCAACAAGAAGCACTGATAAACTATTTGTCAAAATATGGATATATGTGTGCACAGTTGGAGCTGAGCGATGGTAAAAGAGGGTGGCATTTTATAAATCCCCCTTAGATGAACTATCTGAGTGCGAAGTAATACTGAATGGCGATTATAAGGAGGGGGCATGATTGTTTGTGGAAAGACTCAGCTCAAAATATAATCCTTGCATTTGATATTACTCTTTTCACGTCTTCTAGACGTCTCAAAGCGCTTCGCAGAATATACTGTGAAGTGAATTGACTGTATATTTATGGCCAAAAGGAAAACAAAGGGAAAAATAAATAAAATGCACATTAAGCTTTAATGAGTACATGCAGCTACTCTAATGTGTGAAGGTCTTCATGAAAATAAATTCGCAAGTCTATGTTGACTGCTAATATATACAAAGCAAAAAAAATCTATGGGGAATAAATGATGTTAAGAAGAATGTGTACTTGTGGGGTAGGATTACGTGATGTATAGAATAGTGCTGGGCCTAATGGCACTTGGTGGGCCTAATGGCACGTGGTGTAATACTCTATAATCTCAGTTGATTTGCTGCATTTAATGGTTTGAGTCAAGCAAAAGAACAGAAGAATAACATACAGTACTCATAATATATTTCCTCAATTTTAAGTGCAGAAACCTGGCTACTTAATAGATTGTCAGGTAAAAAGTTTGGACACTTCATAAGTCTTTTAACCAAAGATTTTATTAACTCAAAATTAAAGGCCCTGCATTTCAAAATGAACTCTGGGAAATTAAGATTACTTGCAAGAGCTTCCTTACATTTCTCATATTTATACTGTTGACATACGAATGCTCAGAAAATTAGATGAAGCTTAAATGGTGTATTTTAAATCTGCACTGAAAACAACAGCCATGATTTAAACTTCATAATGATGCATTATATCAGATTTCAGAGTAACAACTACTTAAATCGACTATTCCAAGCTGCCATGTTTAAGTGGCTCACTGGAGCTCAGTCAGCAAAATGCATACAACAGCTAGAGGACCAGATGAAAGGACATCAACAAGGAGCTCAAATAGATCTGAAGCAATTGGAGCCACTAACCAGACCAAATAGAAAACATGTGGGAACCTTGAATTACGTCACTTAAATCTCAACTCGACAGGGCTCAGTGCAACAAAAGGGCAATCTCTTCGTAGAGCACGAACACCACAAGGATATTAATTTATCGATAGAAGACTGGTCGCACATGTTGTAAATTAACTAATCCTAATCAGGAGAAAAAGAACTGCTTACTTTGTCTGCTGCTGCCAATAGGTTGTCAGCCATTTTGTCAAGATTTGGTGCTTTTCCCGTGTAGATAAATCTCATCATTTCTTTAAACACTTCTGGATCTACATCATTTATTTCTACTCTATTCTGTTGGGGGGTGGGGGAGGAGAGAAAGAAAATAAAAATAAAATTAGATTGTATATAAATGACTGAAGAATGCTTTTTTTATGCAAAATCACTAATATTTGTTTCAGACACTAACTTGCATCACTTGAAAAAGTCAGAAGTTATACATAGTCAAAACACAAACAATAATAATCCTAGCATTTGATATAGCACTTTTCACGTCTTCTAGATGTCCCAAAACTCTTCACAGAATATACTGTAAAGAAAATTGACTGTATATTTGTGGGTGAAACGCGGCAACCAATTGCGCACAGCAGTGTCCCACAAACAGTCGTGGATTGAATGACCAAATTATTATTCTACTTATTTATTTTCTTGAGAGATTAATATCAGGAGTGTGGAGTAAGAAAACTTGCCCAAGGATTCGGCCTGCTGGGATTCGAACCCAGGTATCTCACTTGCCAGGCAAGTGCTCTTACCACTGAGCTACAGGATTCAAATGTTTTTTGAAAAGTGTCAATCACTTAAAATTAGTAAATTTCTATATCAAACTTTATTAAAAAAATCTGGTGAAAGAATTCTTTGAGATTTTAAGACTTGAACCATTTAAATGGAAAAGGGAAAGAGATATGTATAGTAATCTTACCTTCTTGCTTTCCTCCATTTCATGTTCAAACATGGCATTAAAAACAGGAGAACGTGCTGATGAACAAATATTTTAAAAAGTGCATTAAATATTAGATAAGGTCATTTTTGGTCAATTAGATGCAAAGATCATTTAAATATTGTCAAAAGTTACCTACCTGCTAAAATAGATTTGTGGGCTTTAAACTCTTGTCCTCCCACATAAAGGGAGCAGTCTGTGAATCTAGAGCTTTCCAACAGGTTTCCCAAGTCATCTGCCAGCCGACACTCTGGGACCTTTAATGTGTTCACGTTTGACTGACCCGATATATTAACAGAATCTTGGACCACACTCACCTGAAGCAGGGAAGTGAATGATATACATTTTTAAAAAAGATTTATGTCAATACACAAGTCCTTTACAAAAGTCTAACAAACTATGTAAGTTGCTTACTTAGTAACATATCTGGTTAAAAGTTCATTTGCTTTTGTAAGTGTTCTAATTAACAATAGCAAATAGTTTTAGTTAATCAAGAGAGCTTGCTTATTACAATTTTTTTTGACACACATGGTTTCATTCTTAAAAAAATTGCTATCTACAACATTATACTTTTGCAACTGATACAGTGACCGTGACCACATGGTGTAAGACTTTGCACATGAAGTACCGGATGAGGATAGAATTAGTCTCAGGTACGGTTCCATCTGCTGTAATACAGTCATCGGCAATGATCATATCTGAATAACGGCAATTTAGCGAGGTACCAGAAGGTGACCTATTCACTTAATAACTGGGAATTGAGGAGGTTAAAAAATGAACGATTAAAACCCGTGTCACCGTGCTTACTCAGTTGAATTATTCAGTAAATTACTAGAATAATCGAATGAGAAATGGAGCCACTGATTGCTTTAAATAATTCAATAAATTCCTGACTGGATTTTTAAAAAATACTATGACTTTGGTTTTCAAAACTGACTGATTTCAATAGTTAATTTGACACCACTAAATAATTAAATAATAACTGAAATTTGTAAAATTAAAAGCTACATTTATTAATTATTTGTTTGAGCAGTGCTGCTATGAGCCTATAATCCCCAGGTTTCCTCTCTGAACTGTTTTCTTTTGCATCTTCGTTCAGATTGGTCATTCACTTCATGGCTACAGAACATTGTTTTGCGCAAATTAGCAGCTAAGTTTACCTAGAAAATACACAGCCACTACACTAAATAGTAACTGCTTTGAGACATCCTTCCAACATGAAAGGTTCTAGATCAAATGTAAGGATTATTATATTATTCAATTTGCCACTTATACTCCGTATCAGTTGCTTGACATCTGATTTCCCCCACCCATTCGCTCGTGTCCGTCACCCCTGCTAACAATTTTCACCAATCAGGTATGCCCTCAGTCCTCTTATCCTTGCAGCAATCAGGGTCCCCAGTCCTGTCATCTTAAACTTGCATTGCAAAATAAAAATATCCACACATTGCCAGTAACACCTCACCCGATATCTAAATCTGAAAATACTGGCAATGCTGCTGCAAACTTCCCCAGGTGAGTCAATTGGTCAACGATAATTTTAGAACTGGCATCAGCGATAGTCTGGGGTAATCAACCAGATAAACTGAACAAACTGAATTTGGCTCAGGCACAGTGATATTCCTGCGATATTTTTCAGCAATATTCAAGGCAGAATTAGTGATCCTTTGCAAAAAGCAGTTTTTTTAAAAAAAAAAGTCAACAAGTTTGACTTGAAAACAATCATGAGATTTAAACATTTTTAATGCTGGAGACAACAAACAGATTTGCTGCTGAGTATTGGAAAAAAGAATGATGGGTAGTAGTCACCCAGTGCTGCAAACTCTCACCCAGTCCTGTAACCTTTTATCCCAGTGCATACCAATTTGGCATTTGTTTGCTAATATTTTCTAATGATGGATTGTAAATAGCCAATATAGAAGCATTTTATAAAGAGCATGAAACAGTTTCAAAATTCAGAATTGACAAGGATTCTAAAACATCCAAATTATTGTTTGGTCTACTGCAATAGCATCACAATACAGACTTCAAATTATTATTACTCAAGGACACTTCTAAATGAACACTGAAAAAAAATTACTTCAGAAATATTCTTTTTTTTAAATTGTGAAGCATAACTATTACTTCCTATCCCTTTCTTCCCACTAATCCATCAATCTCTCTTTCAAACATCTCAATCGATTTTGCATCTATGGCCTTCTGGGGACATATCATTCCAATATGACTTCTGAAATACAATTGTAAATATTTAGGGGATTTCCTTCCTGGGGCGAGTTCAATTTCTATTTGAATATGGAGCCTCATTGAAAAAGGAAGAATTTTCTTGGCATCAATTTGAGACCCAACTTTTTTTTTTTGGTTGAGTGCAATTTCTAAATCTGTGATACATTTTGAGGAGCAGAACATGTTGGAATAGAGAATTAAATAATAATAATAATCCTTGCATTTGATATAGCGCTTTTCACATCTTCTAGACGTCTCAAAGTACTTCACAGAATATACTGTAAAGTAAATTGACTGTGTATTTGTGGGCGAAACACGGCAGCCAATTACGCACAGCAGTGTCCCACAAACAGTCGTGTATTGAGTGACCAAATTATTATTGGTTTTTTTAAGGATTATTATCCCCAAAAAAGCAATCCACCAATTGACTAACAACCAGATTCCTACTTACTGCTAGGTAAACAGAGGCATGTGGAGTAAGGAAACTTGCCCAACATTTCACCTTGGCGGGAATAGAACCCAGTTCTCTCGCTTGCAAGGTGAGTGCTCCAACCACTGAGCTACAGGACTCCACATTTAATAGGATTACTAATAAGCACAAGAGTCCTCTGAGCACACTAACCATATGATTGGTTAATTATCTGTCATCATCCTGGTTCACGGGCCTCTTATATTACAGAGTGCACAAGATTGGATTCATAGTTGAAAACATTACAGGTTTAGAAACAAATTTATAACTTGAGTAATAAGTACTTCAATTTATGGAAATGTTTGTGGGTAAACTGCAGTCTTAAAAACTGTTATCAGTTATTTAGGAATTATGAGTCATGATGTTCTCAAAAGACTTCTTGTTAAGTTTATGTCCAGAGACATGACTGGCTACGGTTCCAACTCATTTCCTTTTTATAGTTTTAATATTCAAAAAATCAACAATATAGTGTAGACCCACTAAACCTCATGACACATGTAACCTCTTTATCATGAAAATAATTGTATTCATACCAAATTCATCACACACATATTTAATTTGTCTGCCTAAGTGAAAATAAGATGCACTACATTCACACTACCCATTCCCAGAGGCCACATTTCAATTACTCTTCCTTCAGAGCATAATGATATATAATTAAGCTGTAATCTTGCTAACAGAATGTCTCACATATCCTGTAAATACTTGCATCAAAGCAAAATTATGATCACTTAAACATCCATCACTCTCAGAAACTACTAAGACTACATTTACCTACATTTAGTGATAACCTGTCAGAATATCTTTAACACACTTCTATCTTCCTCAGCGTGAACATTTAATGCTCCAGATTCAGGACATTGCCCATTATGAATGACAATTAGGATCAATGGTATGCTGAAAACATTCGACCACATTTTTCAACAGCAGTCTCAACATCTGACAGATGATGGAATTACAGGTGTACCTAAGCTTGCTCAACAATGGAGTGGCATTAATACTCACAAATAAGATAACATCCTTTATAGGAGGTTGTCCCAGAGCTGCAAAAGTCTGCAACAGGAAGTGTTAGAGTGGTATGTGGAGAAAGTTATCAGTGCAGACTTGAGGGGCTTAAAGATCTGTTTCTGTGCTGAAACAATTCTATGATTTGTTGAAATAGGAAGAGGAGCATAAGGAAAGGACTGGTAAATGAGCCTGAAAGGACTGTTCTTCAAAAGAGCCAGCACAGACACAATGGGCTGGATGGCTTTCCTCTGTGAGTAAATTTCTATCACAAGATCAGTTTGGATGAAGAAGGCCCTTTCGCCCCTGCAATCTCATTCTTCCAGAACACCATCAAGCTGCTTTATAAATGAGTCCAGTGTCTTGGTCTCAACCACCCTTCCTGGCAATCTGTTTCAGTCACTGATTATCCTCTGAGTCAAGAAAACCTCCTGGTATCTGTCCTGACAATGCCCTTTACATTGCCCTCTGGTTCGACTGTCTTGGTGCATCCTAAACTATTGGTCTAAGTTTCCTTTTTCAATCATGTTTAAAATTTCACATGGTTCTATGGCATTCTAAGACTCAAGCTCAAGTATATAATCATAAGTATAAGTATATAAGTATATAAGACTCAAGACTCAAGTATATAATCATATAAGAGCTCCCAGTAACACTCCACGCTTATTATTAAATGGTCACAAATATGTAACATTAAATTATTTACAATAGTTTTTAAACAACCTAAGCATCAGTATAGCTGCCAATGGTTTGGAGAATCAACTTGTATGTGGAATTCAGACATCTCATGAAGATACGAAGAGAAATGTGAATGAGCTAAACTCTCCAATAAATTCTGATTCTTGCACTCTTGTTAATTTGTTTTGCTCATTCTTTTATAACAAAATTGCAAAGAAAATACAAAAAGGCCTGAGAAATGCAATTCAATATAATATATACATAGATATTAAGGCTGAGGGATCTGGCAAGAGTGAAACCCTACTTTTCTTGTGCCCTTTCGTGTGTTTTTTTTCCTGCATTTTTATTCACCCATGTGTACCTTTGTAAAGTGGAGAACTAACCTGACCAGTAAGGCTGATCTACTGTACATCTTTAACTTTGGTCGAAAGCTATCATAAAACAAATACTATAATTTTCTGGTTTTGATTGCTAGTATAAAGCATGCTTTCTGAGGAGCTTAAAATGTGTAAGATTACTTGCCAAAAGATCTTGGTCACTGCAGAACCTTCTGAGTCATATTTCTACATTAGTGTCTCAAAGCAGCCAAGAGTTGTTCAATATACAATTAACAGTCAGAAATCTTTTTGTTCAGGAAATAATCAAACATGGTTACTATTATAAGATGAAGCACCGATAACTGCAGATCAATCAGCCATATAAAGGATTTAGGTTCAAAACATTAACCTACTTCACAAAATAGGGTAAGTTTATCATCTGGAAGAAGACCATTTGCTTCATCTAGAAGGAAGTCTCTACGAATAAATTTTTTGAAACCCCAGTCCTTGCCCTGGACAAATCGGTATGCTCTTTGACTCTCTGGCAAAAATAAATGAAAAAAGGTCAATTACTATGTGAAACTTCAAAGCAGAGGACCATGTAGTAACCACAGCAATACATTATGTCATACAGACTCACATTCAGAAAATATTGATTAGGTTTGAATCAATTTTAACCTGATCATTCTTTGTGAAGTGACAGTTCTTTAGCATTTACTGTTTAAGATGAGTTTGGTGGGGGGGAAAAAGTCTCCCTATTTGAACTTACAATATTTCATTTAAACAGACACGTTACTGAAAACTCTACACCTGAAATATAGTTCAACTTTGCAAAATAGCTCTATTTTGCTACAATTCTGTTTTAAAATACATCATTCAAAGTGATCTATAATTTGAATAAACATATTTCCACTGATTGGAGAAGTGTATGCATGATTGGAAATCACCAACACAATGCACTGTACTCATTGACCCTTTATATTCTCCAGATTAGCTTCTGAAATAACAGCAAAAAATGACCAATGTATTGTTATTTTACTTCTCAATAACTATTGTGGATGAATGAAATTGAAACTTCTGTAAAGACTGTATTTTCAATACATGAATAACAAAATAAACAGCTTAACGCACCTTCAAACCATGAGTATTTATAAATAGTTCTTCATCCGCACAGTTCCTTCAAAGCTGAGTCAGCAGTTATGCACTTACTCATTAACGAGTTAATCAAGACTGCCTATTAACTGCTAATATCCTTATGCAAGTTGCTGATTTTGACCAAACCATCAGGGGATAATACGAAACAGAGATCAATTACAACTTCAGTAGAAATTAACATCCCTCTATTTTTGATATGGCAAATCAGCATGGCAACTCCCAAGAAAAAAACAATCAACTTCTAATTCAGACACATTAGAAATATCTGGAAATTAAAGTTAGTAAATCTATGCCACATTTGAACACTTCCATTAAAATTTCTCCAAACGTATTCTCAAATATATATTGTTTCTAACGTAATAAATTAAGTTTTGATTTCATGATGGTACATCTTGTCAAACTCAAATTATTGGGGAAATAACACTTAACTTTCTGGTTTGAGCAATAAACTTTTCTTGCAAAAAAAGGTTTCCAATAAGTTATCACCAAAATACTAACTTACCCATAGCTTTTGTTTCTTCTCTTTTTGCATTCAATAATGAAAATTTAAATTTCGCTCGAACTTCACTTTTTGGACAACTAACTAAAAGCAAATATAATGAAAGGTAGTCTTTGCTTTCTTCATCTAATCCCTTTGGGTTTACTCTGAGGCACCTGCAAAGCAAATATTAATAAAAAAAATGTTAACAGAAGTAATAGCTTTTTCCACCCCATTTATTTTAATATAACAATAACAATACTAATACTGTTACATTTGAATTACTGAAACTCTCAGATGTTATATACTTGGTATGATGTTACACATGCAAGCAATGATCTCTGTCATTCCGTATCAGAAACAAAAGCATGTCAAGAGTTTTTTGCCATGCAAAGCCATTTTGATCAAGTTACCCCCCACCCAAACCACACCCCAGAACTCATCTGGGCCACACCAATAGTATATTCACATGAAAAAATTGACCTATGAAATATCAATAAACAATACCCAGATGAGGAGAGAAATTAGGAGTTGGCCAGTGGGAGATTGCTTTTTGATATAGAACTGCACTCAAGGAATACTAGAAGAACATCATTAAGGCAGCTTGTTTGTATACTTTGCGAGACCTTGTACAAAACAGTGTGTGCAAAGGCCATCCAGTTAAAATGGCTGTATTTGATGCAAAACTCTTACAATGCTTAGTTTACCCAAATATTTTCACATGTGAAAATGCACAAACCAAATACATCAACAAGAATGGGCTTTAATGCCCTTAGTAAGGCATTATAAGCTTCCATATGTTCCCCTGAGACCATTTCTTCTCACAGAAGCACTGATACAATTTTTCTATTGCAAACACATGGCATCTTGCTAAAATTTCACATGGGTATTGAATAAATACAGTATTGCACACAAGCCTTTCTGTGATGTGGTCGGGTTGAGCTTTTGGGAATGTAGCTCCAGATGTTGGCCCAATTTTTAAATGTCCAGAATGCATTACCAGGAGGAACAGAGTGATGTAACATGAGATATTTAAGAGATGTAACTACAATAAATTACTATTTTTAAATGAGGGCTGTTGAGCGTTTAGGAAAACATGAATTACATATTACACTAAATTTGGCTTAGGTCAGGTAAATGCAGAGCAACCTCCACTGAGCTACTTCCCAAAAATCGGCCTGAATCAAAAGTTGTGCGTGGTGAACACAATATAAATCTAAAACTTACCACTTCATTTTATCATTTGGCCCAGATGAGAACGTAGAACTCTTTAACACTTCGCCCATCTCCTCTCGACAAAAGCTAAAGTTATTGATGGTCCACATATAGGAAAACTTTACTACTTTTACCTAAACAATCAGAGAACAAGGATTTGAGCTGAGTAATTTACTGTGGGAGAGAGAACACTGCCAAGAGATACATCAATGCGGAACAGAAAGAACCAGCGCAATGGTTAGAAGTGGTTGTCCAGGGACTCATCAACACGGGTCTTGCTCCCAAATGAAATAAAAACATTATACTTTATTCCATAATCTATTGAAGTTTTACAAATAAGCAGTTTTCCCCATGGCATACAATTATAGCACAGAGGACTCTTGTATTTCCTGTGAGAACAAGTAGTCAGCTGTATATTCTATTTTCTTGACATATCTCAGATATCCCAATCTTACAATTCTGATTGCTCTTGGACTTTGATGGAACTAAGCTGGGCCCAGATTAAGTCCCCAAGGTGGTTGGGTGGGGGTGGGTGGGGATGCACTTTTAAGAGTTGATCTGCAGGCTGCCCAACACTGGAAAAGCACAGTGTTGCGAATTAACTTGGTCTCATTTACAAGTTCTATTACTTACATTTAAACCCCGGTTAGCTGGTGTGTTTCCCAATGTGTTTGGTGTGTGACATATGGTGCGCGCGTGTGTGTGGTGTTTGTGTGATGTGTGTGGTGTGTACAAGCATTCATCACCTCAAGGCTCAACTAAGGAAACTCCCTCGTCGGCCTCCCCAACTTTTCCCTCCACAAGCTACAGATCATCCAGAACTCTGCAGCTTGTGTACTCTCCGTCACCCGGCTCCATGGTTCCCCATCCTTCACAGGATAGAATTCAAAATCCTCGTCCTCACTTTCAAGGCCCTCCATGGCCTTGCCCCCTCCTACATCTCTGACCTTAGGCTAACTCCCTATCAACCTGTCCGTTCCCTCCACTCAGCAGGCTCCGGCCTGCTCCAGTTCTCCCACCTGACCCACCGCATCATTGGGGCCGGGCTTTCTTCCTCTCTACAACAGCCACAAGATTTCATTTATAGAGCGTCTTTCACGTCGGGAGGACGTCCCAAGGCGCTGTACAGTTGGGTCAGGACCCGAGCAGGGGGCAATGGTCAGGGGAGGGGAGGGAAGGGAGGGAGCGAGCGAGCGAGGAGGGGGGAAATGGTCAGGGTGAGGGGAGGGAAGGGAGGGAGCGAGGAGGGGGTAGAGAGTCGAGAGGAGAGCTGAAGGCTCGGTCAAAGAGAAAGGTCTTGAGACCGGCATTGAAGGAGGAAAGGGAGGAGGCAGCGAAGGCACTGGGGGATAGAGTTCCAGAGCCTGGGGGCTGAGAGGCTGAAGGCCCGGCCATCGATGGTAGGGCAGGGGATGCGGAGCAGACCGGAGCCAGAGGAACGGAGGGTACGGGCAGGTAGGTAGGGGGATAGTAGGTCGGAGAGGTAGGAGGGAGCAAGGCCGTGAATGGCCTTGTAGGTGAGGATGAGGATCTTGAAATCGATCCTCTGGGGGATGGGGAGCCAGTGGAGGCGAGCGAGGGTGGGAGTGATGTGGTCCCGAAGCCTGGTGCGGGACAGTACACGAGCTGCAGAGTTCTGAATGACCTGCAGCTTGTGGAGGGAGGTGCCGGGAAGGCCGGCGAGGAGAGAGTTCCCGTAGTCCAGCCTTGAGGTGATAAAGGCATAGACCAGTGTTTCAGCAGCGTGAGGGGTGAGGTAGTGCCGTCAAGATGTCATTAGTGACCTTGACCAGGGCGGTTTCTGTGCTATGGGCAGCACGGAACCCCGACTGAAGGGGTTCGAATAATGAATGGGTAGAGAGGAAAGAGCGCAGCTGGGAGGCGACGACTCTTTCGGGATGTGGTAGAGAACAGAAGCCTGGGGTTGTTCTTCACCTCCAGGATTACCCTGGAGTAGAAGGACGACTTGGCCGAGGCTACCCCCACTCTTTGGAACTCCATCCCACAGTCTCTTCGTCTTGCTCCCTCTCTCACCTCCTTCGAAGCATGGCTCAAGACCCTCCTTTTTGACCATGCCTTCAGCCGCCCTCCTACTCCCTCTGCCCTCCCTCATCCTAACCCTGCCCCCCACGCTCGGGTCCTGATCCCTGACTGTTCAGTGCCTCCCGACACGAAAGGCGCTTCACAAATGTAATTTTGTTGTTGTGTGTGTTTGTGTGTGAGATGTGTGGTGTGTGCGTGTATCTGGTCCGGTAAGCAGGAATTTCTTGCTATATGTAATTACAATGCCAGTATCGGGATTTACCTCCAGTTTTCGACCACAGGTTTTTTCCATTTCCAAAAAATACCGGAACCAACATTGTAATTGTTTGAATCTAACAAGCAGATAATGATGCTATTTCTGCTTGCAGGATTCAAACCGAGTGAAGTGGATATCCCTGGCTGCTGAATGCCAGTAAGGATGGTGAGGCGGGCGGGGGGGGGCGGGCGTGAGCTAGGCGAATGGCCCACAGATTTTTTTTATTTTTAATTTCCATTTAAGGCCTGAGGTTACTGAATTCAAATAACTTACAAGATTTTATGATTTAGACATCATTGAAAAAGAAATTAAGGCTGATTGCTAAAATAAGTCGGGGTGTTTAAATTCTCTTACTAACTTCCTTGAATACGACCTCTTCCACCAGCTCAAGTTTTATTTTTTAATGTCTTAACCATTCTGTATGGCACACTTCTAACAAATGAATAATTTGCACTAGTTAACACTATACATCAACGATTAAATACTAAGCACTGGACGAGGAATTGGATTCATGGAGCAGGATCTCAGGGGAGTTTTCAGCAGTTTTCCATCATTGTGGTAGTGAACCAGAAAGTTCAGGGAAATAATGGTGCACGGCAGTGTTGGTGGACTTTGACTCAGCCGAAGGCTACCTCAAGCCATAACCTGCCACTCAATTTAAAAAAAAATACTTTTCCCTATAGCGTAAACAAATGATAAAAGTCTTCTGGGGATGACTTCAGTGAGCTGCTCATGAGATCGAAACCACCGCACAAGTTCCATTTATTAAATGGTCTTAGAAAGTAATATAGTAGCCATTAATTATTTTAAGTGTTGCTAATATTTATATTTCAACAACAGTAGCAATTTGCATTTATACAGTGCCTTTCGCATTTGAAAGACATCTCAAAGCACCTCATACAACTGACTGGAAGCCCAAACTGGGGAGGGGAGCCGAGCAGAGAGAGGGAAAAGGTGGCTGAAAGCCCACTCGAAGATGCAGGTTTTAAGACAGGTTTTGAAAGCGGAGAGGGAGGGGGAGAGACAGTGCGACTCCAGGTTGGATAGATACAACTTCAATAGAATTATCAATCCTACTGTTACTGTCCCCTCCTTGAACCCTAATTGGCAAATAACATGATGGAATGATTAAAATCAGGAACTCAATCTGGGAATTCAGGGTAGAGTCACGCACCATCTGCAACCCACACATCATCACTCTGTGATGCACTGCAGTGAAGCATTCTTGAAAGCAGCCCTCCCTTCTTGAAATTGTGGCCCTGGGCAGAAAAAAGCGATCAAACTGAATTAAGGAATATATTTCTTTACTCTGTGATTAATGTGGATTGGATAACTCGTCAAGGACAAAGTCACACAGAAGGAATTATCCATTTTCCTCACAACAGAAATACATTCTGCTTACAGCTCTTCATTGAGACGGCTTAGGTGCAACATTTTCTTCAATTGAATTAAAGGATTTAAAAGGAACACTGCAAAATGTTAAGGAAGGTTTAATACACTTCAATAAAATAGCTTCCAAACGTGCTTTAGCCACAAGTGACAGACTAAAGCGCTTCAGCTTTAACTCTCCACCTTGATAAACAAGGGAGATTTCATTTCCCTCTGAAATTCAGAAACGACTGTTTTGCCCTGAAAATCAGATATCTTTCTGAAAAAGAAATAAGATAAGGAAAATGTTTACGTAAAATAAAGTCTTGAAACCCTTTTAATCAGTGACTGATTAAAAATTAAGTTTTGGGGGGTTAAGTTTGGATGAGGAGAAAAGCTTCATTTTTCTTGAAATAGTAACACAGAAATCCACCTGAATCACATGGCATACAGTACCTAAATTAATCCCAGAATATAATGGTTTTACTTTCGACTTAAACAATTTTAATAATTCAATCTTTTAGAATAAAGTGAATGCTCAAGTAAACAAAGTAAACACTTTGTTACAACAGTTTGCCAGGCAACGCCTATTTCACCATTAATCCAGAAGAGGGTATAACAACAACAACTTGATTTATATAGCGCCCTCCATGCCAGACAGCGTTCTCAGAGCGCTTGCACATATACGCACGTACCTGGGTGTAACACCAGCTCTCCGCTACAGGTCCACTGGACATTTCTCCAGGCGGAGGAGGAGTTGGCACCCTTGACATCGCCAGCTTGTCCGCCGTTGGGAATCTAGATGCCACAGGGAATTTCAGAGTTTCTTCTGCAACAAAATACAATGAAACTGCAAACTCTCCAATAGTGATCAAAATATTTCTTGCGCAAAACACAAATTCTAGATTATGGCTGTGTTTAAAATCTTAATTTCTGAACTGTGCAAAGAGCAATACTGCATACCTTCCTCAAAGCTATAGAACTTTAAATATCATATCTGAATTGAATACTATCATGAGCTTCTACCTCCTTTACTCTTCCCAAAGGTTGAGAGAGAATGGAACAGAAGAGACACCATAAAAGAAAGGCATTTACAAAAATATAAAACCGCAGTACAGAATATTGTGATACGACATTGAAGCATAACAGGAAATTAATGCAAATGAAAATACAGGGCAATTGCTGTCAGGGTGGATCAGGCACTGCTGAGAGACCAAACAAACCCTGCAGAAAACACCTGCAAAACATCAGAGTACCAAAGGAAAGACTGGGGTCATGGACAGGACAGAACCAATCACGGAAACAGGAAGCAGCAGAGAGAAATATAGTTCAAAGAGACTAAAAACAACTCTACTAGAACTGCTGTTGCTCATTCTTCAATTAATCAATCCTGTTAATATACAGGTCACAGGTCAATAGAAATTGATAGTTAACTCCTCTGAAATTTTGATAACCACCTCACTTCACCAAATTGCTCATCTCAGTTCCACGTGTTAAAGATAGCCAACAAGCTGAGTCCAAGGGCCATCCTACAGGGAGAGGGCACTTTTACACATTTGGAAGCAGGCTCAAGAAAGCGCTGCATAGACCACCCACTCTCTGACATGAAGAGCGCATGTCACCTGGAAATCATATCTTCACATAGCATTTGTTCAACTAAGTGGATTAACCGTGCACTAAGTTACAGAAAACAAACACCAGACTCGACATTATAAATTGCATTATAAAGAGATTATATGAAATGACTGCCGGTGGCATCACTTCCTACAACCACTGAATACTGGGCAGACATAGGAGAACAGACAGTCACTGCTAGAAGCCGTTGACGTACTCAATTGCTGTATAGGCCACCGTGCAACTGTGCTATAAAATGAACAACCATTAGAACCAGTAGTTGGACAGCAGCCACAATAACACATTGCTTTTATATATTCACGTAGGATAACTACACAGAGCTCTTTACAAAAACTTGGTCAAACACCAGCAGGAAGCAGCAAGAATTTACTCTGCCGAGATCACACTGAAAATGAAGCGTAAGCAGGTCAATTACAGGACAGTATACATCAGCTGAGCCAACACATTTCAACTCCCTACTTGAGTAGTGATGGATGTTATGCAAAAAATGATCACTTCAGAAATATTATACCCTAGAAAATATGTAACACTACCTAAAAACTCCAATTTATGAATAACATAATATTAAAGACACTACTATGGCAAAATATTCCATTAGCCTACAAGTAATAAGTGAGAATTTATGCAAGATGAAGATCTTTCATGTTTCACACACTAGCTCTGGTTAGCAATTATGTCAAACAAGTCAGTCGTTAAAACACAACATAAATCGAAGATGTGCACTTAACCCTGTAGCAGATGGCTTTTACAACATGATTCCCTAGGAAACAAAGCATTCACCATAAATTGACATGAAAACTACCAACCCACATTTCCTCTAATATAAAGCTAACAGTTTTAAGGATTTTCAAAGGATCCAGGATCAAGCAGTGGGGTGGATTGGTGGCAAACACAGGAAGTGGCTGCAGGGTGGGAGGGCTCTGACCGGACCACTCGCAGAGGTCGAGTGGGATTCACAACAGGCATGTCTATTTACCAAGGCCTCTCACATGAGGACCTGGATTAAGCAGCTGGTGCTGAATAAGCCTGTTATGCAGCATTCGACTTGGACCTCAAGAACATCAAGATGGCTGACACGTTACAAGCTGTCCTGAAAAAGTCCTCCGACCACGATGAAGGCACAGATCTGTCAAGAGAGCTGGTGAGGAAACTCAAGAGGCTTGGAACCGAACTGCTGGGAGGTGTTAGCTGGAGTCCATGTTCATGAAGATGCATACATACATTCAGTGCAAGGAATGCACCTTGACTAGTTTGCAGAGATAAGCAGATGCTGTTCAAGCTCATTGCTCAATGGGACAGTTCGGGCTGTGGTCAGAAAGATGGCGGCAATGCTCTCACACATTTCATACTGAGCTATGTTGCACACAGGGAAACTCTCTAGGAGTTCCTGGTACCTACCAGCTACCTAGTAAGGGCTCAAAGCCCTGCTTGCTGGATGTCAAATGACAAAACTAGTGACTATTCTCCTATCCAGTTGCTGAGCCAGGCGGATCTGCTGCAGTATTCCAGGGCACTGCTGGTGACGGCACATCAGTCCTGGCTTATCGACAGGACTTAGAAGGGCAGACCAGTCACTGAGGGCAGGACTCTTCCGACTCAGCTCCCATTAAGCCTGCAAGTCAAAGCCCTAGGGTGGTCCTAGGAAGACAAGCAGCGGGAAAGCTTGTCAGGAAATATTTATTTAGTTCTCTCCAACATTGCAACAGAATGTAGGTGAGATCTCGTGAAGCAAAACTTGTCTCCTCAGGGAAGGAATTTAGGAACTAGTACCAAAAACGCCTGACAGTAATTTTTCATGCAGTACTTTACATAATAATAATCCTTGCATTTGATATAGCACGTTTCACATCTTATAGACGTCTCAAAGCGCTTCACAGAATAGACTGTAAAGTGAATTAACTGTATATTTGTGGGCGAAATGCAGCAGCCATTTGCGCACAGCAGTGTCCCACAAACAGTCGTGGATTGAAATGATCAATTTATTATTGTTTTTTTCAGGGATTATTATCAATGTAATGTAGCTCTTCTATAATACAGAAAATTTAAACGAGCAGTCCATTCATCTATATTGCTACAAAATTTAAGATGTTAAAAATATATTAGCATTTACTGGTTATTGTCTTAGTCTTTCTCTGCATTTTTTTGAATACTTTGAATCAGCAGGAGAAAGACAGGGAGAGGAAATCACGTATTCTGTATGGACTCTAGCTAGCAACAATTTGAATGTCTGTGGCTAACATTCCCATTGCAGTCATTGAAGAGGAAATTTGACAAAATATCTACTGGCATTTCATCTCTTATTAAAGCACAGGAGAATAGGAAAAAAGGTCAATAAAGGAACAGATATCGTCTTTATAACATTAAGGATTACAAAGCAGTTCAGCAGATTCCCAAGCTTTACTGATACTTTTCGCATTAACACTTCAGCAAGTTCACTATACAGATTTTACTGAGGCTGATTTTGGGAGTGCACTTCATTCAGCTGTGATGCCTGAAGCACATTTAATTTAAACATTTTATTATGCTTCAGATGGCTGTTCTTCAGTAGGTATTAGAATACATTGAAGACTTCTGGAAGATCCACTTCATAGCTAAAGAAGTAGTCTTTATTTTTACAAGTAGATGCACTTTATAGTGTTCATGCATCAACTTGCTGTATTATGTACACAAAACAGAATATGTTTTATATCATATTTTATAGGGGACACTTCATATATTGTTTCACTCATTTCAGTAAAACTTACTGTGTTTTGGTTTCTATAAATAGTAGAATATGGTCAGAATCTATGCATCAGAACAATGAACCAAAGAGCAAATTCACTGGAGTGGAATTTTTAGGTTTTTTTTGAGGGACATTTTAGTGTAGGATTGTGCGTTCCATTTCCCCCACTGCAAACTACCGATCATCAGAAATGTGACACTGAGTGAACTTTTCACAAAGCTCCATTAGCAGAGACCTGAAATCAATCTCCTTGCCTTCTCTGCTGGACAATGAAATAAAATATATTAAAGGGGGGAGATTATTATGAAAATTATGATCTTAAAGAGCATTTAAGATTAATCTATGATTCAAATTAATTAAAGTGCCCTCTAGTGTTTTAGCCTACCCACTAGTTTAGATGGAAAATGTAAACTGTTAAAGGACTACAAAGCAATCGTTTTCCTTTAATGAGATCACCATGTGTGTCAGGGACAAGTGATTTATGGAAAATAAACTGAGCTCTTTCCAAAGTGCGACAAGTACACATGCTAGAAAGACAATCGGAATTAACAGAATGCTTGCAAATCACAATTTTATGCAACTAGCTGTACCCGTTGCAGCTACGCTTGCAACCAAAGGATCCAATATGGACAAAGCGCAAAATATTGCAGATGCTGGAAATCTGAAAACAGAAATCGTTGGTAACACTCAGTAGGTCATGCCATGAAGAAAGGAAAGTGAGTCAACATTTCAGGTTCACGATCGTTCGTCAGAACCTAATATGGTATGCAGATTTCAGTGATACCACTCACGAACCATTTGACATGCCATAAACACTGTGTGTACACCTTGCATGCCTTTCTGTGTCAAAGTCCAACCGTACTGTTCTTCGAGCAGGCAAATCATTTTGCCTTGCTTTTGTGGTCCTTTCAGCATTGAAGTCCAGCCATGCTGTTCTTTGTTCTTGAGTTTCATTTATTCAGCCTTCTCTCTTTTGTCTGGCATTTTTATTTGTCCTTGAAACTCTTGATTTTTGCTTAGAAAATGTGCTGTTGGGAGGACTCCTTTTGGAGGACTGAGTGGGAAGACACCTGTTGGTAGGACTCCTGGTGGGGAGAACTCCTGGTGGGGAGAACTCCTGGTGGGGAGAACTCCTGGTTGGGAGAACTCCTGGTTGGGAGAACTCCTGTTAGAGGCCTGTAGCTCCCGTAACAACCTGAAAAAACTGCCATACATTTTTTTCAGAATATATTAGTATAGATGTATCTTTTTAGAAAGCTTTCCTCTGTTGGTACTTTCTTGCAGAATACCATGCATACCTCATATTTTTGTGCTTAATTAAAGCATTTTTAAATATAGCTCATCAACGATAGGAGATCCCCGAATAAAAATGCCGTTGACTCTCCCACATGCAAGACCTTTCCGATGAGGTATAAATCATGTCTCTACGTCAATCGGTTATTGCGTTATTGTCACAGGCACACACAGACTTT